TTAAAGGAAGGCAGGCAATAAATATTATATAGAAATCTATATATTATTAATTATTTAGATACTTGATGATTTACAATAACGGCAATATGTCATTTACTACAAATTGTTTGTGAATAGTGCAAGGTTGGCTGCTCCTATTGGCCCCTTAACGTGTTTAACCTATTTATATTTTCATTTCGTCAGACACCAACGTAGACATTGCTGTTATCCTACCATGTTGTAACTAGGGGAAATTTTGAAAATAAAAGATGCAAGAGCTAAACGAGATTCAATAAACGCCTCTCGCATATAGGACAAGGCAGCCTATATGGCGATACGTATTTTTTTCAGGTTAGATCGACTCGTTCTCGCCGAGATACAAGAATAGCCTAACAGGGCCCTAAAAACGATCTTACGCTTATGGCGATTGCGTAGCCTAGAAATGCTTTTTGAGTTTTGCATACGATACAAGCTCCCTGCGTCTACACCCTAATTTAAGTCTAGATCACCATACGTACTCACACATGATAGACAAGAGCGTCACTTACCGGATTATAACACAGAGCCAAATACGTAACTCTAGTTTCATGTTAGATTCTATTTAACACTAAACAGAATGAAGATACGCTCTTGCCAAGCGTCCCGCATTACCACGATGCCAAAGCAGCCTAGGCAAAACAAAGATTTAGTTGTGTAGCCAATATTTAGTTTTATTAGTCCAAAAAAAAGGTAAATAAAACACATTTAATAAGTGGAACTGATGAGCGCATCTTCACTGTTTGTACTATATAACTATCTATATGCTTAGCATTCGTCATCTGGCGTTAGGATTTCGGACACAGACTTCAAAAGCAGCTAGGACTCAATGATATCTACTCGGTTCACTTAAAAGCATGCTTGATTAAGGTAGCACTTACGAAATACTTTCTCGAAGCCTTAATAGGCTCTATCTGTAACCTACTGTGATGACTATGAAAAATAATGATGTAAATTGTAGCCTAGCTAAATGCGCAGAAGTGTCTTTGCCTATTAGAAATGCGAGCGTATAATGAATATTATGATTTTTTTGATATTATATTTCATACTACGTGTGATCAGAGGTACAATCAAAACGGGATAAACTCAGAAGCGTTATCGGTTAGGTGTTTCTAGCAACGCTTCAATGCGTTCGAGCGCTCTACAAAACTGAAATGATCGTAGCTTGCAATCTATAAACATATACGTTAATTCTACCGTATATACTCGAAGATATTTTCTCTCTTGTTGCATGATGACTGATATATATATAATTCGGTTTCGTGCGGATACTCTGCTCTTTGTTTATTATGTGTGACCGCCGCGGGCACCATACTCTGTAAAATTAAGCGTTAGCCCCAGACTGATCACCGCAAAACAGCAAACATAATAAAAGTTAATCGAATTAACTTTAAAAACTTTTTCTACTGCAGTTGAATTCAGACCTGCCATTTTCTAGTTATTACATACATACATATATTGTTCCAATATATACAATCATCTCTGTGAATCAATCCAATTTAATGTTATTGCGGTACCGTCAAACAGACTGCCAGCAAGTGGATTGCTCATCGAGATTCGTTTGTTTTGAGCTTACGCGCACGTAATAGTACTAAGTTGTAGCTTAGGTAATGATGCTTATTCTAAAAGTATTCCTTCTTGCTTTTACGTATCTGCTGCTTGTTTACTTCCATGCAGCACTCAAAATTGCGCACTCTATCATTTGTAAGTACATTGTAATTTGACTGCGCATAAACAGAATGTTAGGTCAAGTTTAAATGATATTTCTAATAAAAGAAAGTGACACCTACTTTGTTTCGTCGTTCGTTGAGGCTGCCCTGTATATCTTCAACTTCATGCTCGAGAAAACAGTCTGCAAAGTTCAGTAATGGTACCTCAAAGGTGGACGACACATTTACTGACTGGACGTCAATTCAGAGGCATATTCAAAAGGAAACGATCGGCAAGCAACTTTTGAACCGAGCGAGAAGATAAATTGCCGTCATCCAACCCGCAAGGAGCTTATGCGATTTTCTAGAAAATAAATGGGAGTCTAGATGCGCCATAGACTGGTTTAAGCTTACAATGAAACGTGGCTTCTTATTGCCTTTCAACATGTCGCCCGGCCAAACAACGTGCAACATTGACGATAAGTTTTTACACAGCATTGTTACGGGTACTCTCCCGGGTCCATAAGTTTCTATTCTAAAAAAATCATGATTTACCTTGAAAGGGACAGGAAGAATTCTACACACTGACAAATTCTTGAGAAGAACAGGCCTGTCAGGAGGTGTCTGTATAAGGCTCGGTCGGATCAACCGAATGAGGCAATTTAACCGTGGTCATGCTTTGCAGCGACTATGCCAGGCCGCGGATGGCAGACGCTACTCAAACTGCTCTGCAAGTCTGAGTGGAAGGTCCTTTTGTGCCCAACAAATCCTTCAAGCTTATTTCAGATGTTTACACATGAAGCTAGTAACCCTACATTTGTCATTGACAAGGGTTTTGAAAACTGGCGGGCAGATTTGTCAACGCCAGACTTGACGGCTTCCGGTATAAATGAGTTTACTGAGAAATGGGATAAAGTCATAGAGACTGACGACGAATAAATAATATATTCATTTATTGCTAAAATTAGAGAAAAATGCTGGCTTCTTTATAGCGGGAAAATATAAGTTACTATGTTACGACTTACCGCTGATAACTTCCTTATACAAGTGAAGATTGGTATGAAATTTTGGGCATGTAAAATCTCCGATAAGATTAAGCTGGCGGATTTTGGACAATTCATTGTAAAGGCTGAAGTGCAAAGCATTCTGTTTACATAAGACTTATGCTTCTCTAGCAATGAATAGAGCTTTTTGCCATTGTCAACATCAAATAATATTTCTGTCCAGTGACTTAGCTGAGTAGTAATCCTACTGCTCATAAAAATTATATAATCCGACAATATTTATAGATTACACGTCTCCACCGCATATGCGCGATGTGACCTTTGTAGAAACATATCTTCCTGTATGTAAATATAGGGCATATTGTATATTCGCGGTAAGTTCTGTACTTTTGAATTATTTCCATATACATAGACCTCAGTAAGCACAGCGTAGATTTCGATAGAATTGCTTCAAATAGCGTCCACGCTATCCATTGCCACTCAGGGCATAGAAAGGGAAGTACAGGATGCGCCAAAGTCAGAAATAGATGAAAGCCTATATAAAGCAGACAAACAAGATAAACAGTGACCTTCATAATATTGTGCAGGCAAAAAACACAAACAACTGCACATATAATTTGTGTTAGCCAGATCATGATTTTATTTATCGACGAGCTATTCACTCCACAGTCTTCTGTTCCAAAACTAATTACCTGTTCTAAGCGGTACCTTATCACATCATATTGTACAATACTAGGACCGTGTCTTTGTCTTTCGCAATATACTATCAGTTAACGTTCATCGGAAAGCTTAAAAATATATGTACATAAGAATCGAGTCATAAGTTCCATCCCGTTCCCATATTTTTGTTGTTAGGTGTTAAGCTTATTTTTTTTCTATTATTCATTATGGCCTATCACATGCACTAACATGCTCTCCATAGCAACGCCGCACGATATTCTGTTGTTCTCTTTTGCTTACATCGTGCACACTCATTCAGCTTTATCATTGTTTTATTTTGCCTCTATTGTTATCAAGGCTACCATATTTAATAGGAATAACAATTGATAAGCTGCGTTTTTGTTTTAACTCAGCAGCTAGATATTTACATGGACGCAATTGGTTGTTAACACGTTAAGCTTATGGTTTTCGGCTGTGTTTTTGTTTCTACGTGCGTATGATCAGCCTAACTGCAGCATATCGGCAAGAGTACCTTGTTTAATCTTCAATCTAATAAGAATGTGCCTAAACGCCAATAAACTCACGTTTGCAAGCAACTGCTTAGGGAACAATTGATATATATAAGGATAAGGAATTATTAGGTCAAGCGTGATCTTGTACGAGGTCAGTTATTATCCATAATTCGGTAACTGTAATTGTTGCGCTGACCTGTATCAGCGGTAAACAGATAAAAACAGCTTCTCAGTATATGTCAACATACACGTATTTCTATCTAACTTTCTCAAACGACCATGCTACCTCATAAGTTCTAAAGCATCGCAATCTTAACATCGACATTGCTTCCTGTTTGTTTCCCTAGAATTTCTTAGGTAGTATTGCAGTATTGCTATCCCGAGTAGTAATCAATGTAACAAGATAAATTCTCGTGCTCCGAATACGATTCGTTATTATCATTATTACTTTTATTATCGCCGTGTTAGATGCATGAGTCCGGAGTATACTATGTACGACCTAACTACAATCTAATACGTTTTTTTCCATCAGGATCCTATTTTTCGACACTATTAATAGCAGTATCGAGGAGAATAGTATGCAGTTTAGCGTGACGGCCGAGTCTACAACACGTATTATCGCCCTCATATAAACGCTGTACAATTATATATATAATACAGCGTTTAAAAATACGCAGCCCAGCTATTTTTCGCTTGTTAAGTTAGCTATTTATGCACCTATTCACTTCGACTCATTATTCATTTACGTTTGCACCGCGCATACAGTCTTGTATCTGTACATTACGCGAAAATATTGTAAATAACAGCTTCATACGTTGTATTCTACTCTAGTGAGAAGACAAATTTGCCTACGCGCACTATTTCGAAATTCTCGGTTCGACCGGCCGGAATCCAGCGCCGATTCAGTTGCATCACGTCATCGAAGCAACAGAAACAATAGATTTGATCCTCATTTCTGTTTAGTCTGCATCCGCTCTGTCAACAATGGCCTGAACACAATAACAAAACTAAAAAACATATGTGTCTTGATTTGTGTGAATACGCAAAACGTAACACCATACATTATGACCTTGTTCCTCTCGACTCAAATTTGATTCTGTTATATTGTTTTTTTGATCACTCGGACAAATTCTATGGTTACTTGAAGTACATTATCTTTTATTTGAAGTACGAATCTATAATAATTTAAGTACGCTTGGTATTAACACACATGTGTCAATTGGTTCCGGCCTTTCGATCATTATTAACATGTCAAAGATACCGACTGTGTAGTTGCAATATATTATGCTGATGTGTAGGTTCAACTCTAAATGATTAAGGTATAACAGAAAGTTATCTGTGCTTGATAAAAAAATTGACTGTTAGATGCATCTTTGTCATTACATCAATTCCAGTGTCGAGTTTTTCTCGTTCTGCAGCTGTGCTCGTCGTGTTCCGCCTACGAAATCCGCTCGATAAAGGGGTTCAGAGGTCAGTTAGGCTGTTATTAATCCTTCGGCTAGCGCAAATAGCCCTCCGCCGTTGTCGAGGCAACTCAATCCTGGCCCCGCGACGTGAAGGCGTGGACCGGATATCTCGACCGCGCGAACGCGGCGATCGGAAGGATGAGCATTTACTCAGGTACTTCGGATCACAACAGCGGATTGAGCGCTTAAACTCCCTGCGTAAGTAAAACAACGACAAAAGTGCATGGGGCAAAAATGTAATGGTGTACGCAAAACGTATGTATATCACTATTGCAATCTAGGGCCTGTCTTCTTGCCATCGCTGATCACCGCTTACCAATCATGTGCTCTTGTTATAGAACTCTGGTCGAGTCGAAAACTTTCACAAAAAAATTGAAGGTCGTAGGATCATCACAAGGATATGATAATACGCGTTAAGTATGGGTTGAGAGTGTCGGCTCACACGTAGGTCGAATATTCAAATCGACCCTGTATCAATATATATATCGGTACGGAGTAAGAATAATGTCTAGGAAAAAGTAACTCAACAACGCAGAGTGTTTGCCGCCAGTTCGCTTCATGCATTTGCTACGTTTGGTAAGCGAGGTCTGCGAGTCTGTGGTAAAGTCAATTGGATGGGTCGATTTTACCTGTCCTTTGAGTTTTTCAATCCGTTTTCAAGGTTAATGCGTAATTAATCTAATGTCAAGTATCGCTTCTAGCTGACTTCCTCAAATCTCAGATCAAATAATCATTGCGTTGCAACCTAATCATATGGGCTCTCTGTCCTCTTTTAATAGTTTATTACGTATTACTGAGACAAAGAAATTTCAGTCGTTCTTAGCAACGAGTACCTATAGTACAAATTACTGAGCTCAGATCTGTTTCTTTGACAACATACTGGTGGCCGAGAGCAAGAAAAGGCTTAAGTAAGTGCTTCTGAGAGACAAAGGGAATCAAATAGAGTCACTTTCATAGCTTCGTAGAGAAGGCCGTCATCAGGAAGGTTTAAGAATAATCGAGGCACCAACTAAAAGTGTTTACGTTTTACGATAATGGACCTTAGCACGTGTTTGCGTTCAGCTGGTTCCACAAGTGAGGCCCACTTTGGTTTGAAAGCGAACTCTTTTACTTGCTACGTTACAAAAACAACAGAGGGTTTAGGTATGGCTCGTAAGCATCTGCGGTCATTTCTACCAGTTTAGCAAATTTACTCAGTTGGTGCAAAAATAGGAACAGCGATGCAACGAGAGAAAAAAAGAACGTTGGACGCTGCAGTTTTTTAAAAAGAAATCTAGGTGTTACTAGGATAACTAAATTTTCACTCTGAAAAACGTCTCCCCGACTGCCATGTGTACGCCAGCTGCTACAATTTATTCATCCAAAAGAACAGTAAGACTACGAGCTAATTAGTTACGGAACGGAAATTAGCGGACTAGTTACGGAACGTGATCTCAAGTGTTTTCTTCACTTTTAACTCCAATAACAATTATTATTATTATAGTAACGTTTCGGCTTTAATTATATACGGCACGTTTCTGTAGGACCTTTCTATACCCGCTAAACACACGATCCTATCAGCCCCGCACGTGCGCTGTTGACAGTCCTTTGTAATATTTTAAGCAAGCAGCAAATGTTGCGAGCAGTAAAAAACAAATTGACATTTGTAATCGTCTCATCGGCGCATCTTTCGCACGCTTACGAGTTTCACAAGATTATTGTGAATTGCCCGTATATTCCAGAAAGCCAATCTAGAAAAAAATAGCTATTAGGACAAAACTAAACAAAGTGCATTGTTTTTGTTTCGAACGAGTTAACATCAGCCTGCCGAAATGTTTTTCGCTTACCCTTGTTGTGATAATTGGCTCTGTTCATTTAAGGAGTTGACGATCATGTTAGGGCTGGTAGCCTTCAACAAAGGCTATTCGCGCACCGGCGATGTTCGGCATAACAAATAAAAAGTACTACTTATGTTTTTCATCGCGATTATCCTATGTAATGAAACACTTCATAGAGAAAATGGCGTATACAATCTAGCTAGCTAGCTAGAGAGAGGTACTATCTCTAATGATGACACATGTAAAAGGCTTATTATTTATTTCGCTCACTCATTTTGCCATCCGACAATGGACAGTATGAGACTGACAAGAAAATATTTTTGCTTATAAATTCGTACAAATACGTGCTAATTTTAATAGTAATTTTTACTATTATTATACAAGTAAAGAGGAAGATAGACAGTAGCGACGCGATATATGCATTTACGATAACAAAAAATATTTCAGCCATATATATACAATATAATTCGGACAAGGTTTGCGTAGTGAAGATCACAAGATTCATTCACAAGATGTGTTCCGAAGCCGAAAACTACAACCTATCTTAGATTATTGAGAGCGGTAAGAAATATATAACGATTTTCTATTATAGGCCGCTCAAGGTACAATCGCGACACAGATAGCGAAAGGAACTAAGTGCAGATATTTTGGCCAATTGCGACGAGAGCAAATAAAGGTGTTTAACTGAAAGTTGCTTTTGTAAGGCAATGAATGTTTAACATAAAGGGGATTTTATAAGAAGGCCCATCTTAGCTAAATCTATGCCGATGTTCGTCGAAGGGTATAAGCTTAGCATTAAACGTTGTAACGTTCTTGAGTGGCGTTGAAAACTATATTAAATGTCAACAGTTGTCAGGCTTGAATTTTACCATGGCACTAACATTAGTAAACAGTAATAAGTGTACTCGCATAAAATATCTCAGTCTTATTTTGAATATTGATTTATATACATATATAAACTGTTCAAAAATAAACTTGTCTCAAGTGTACAATCAATACAAAGAGAAGTTTAAGAGGAGAAGGGATTTAAGCTATATGTACAGACTTCACGTTCTCTTTTCATAGTAAGCACGTTCTACAAAAAAGAACTGCGCCTGTGCCTAGGCAAGCATCGTCAAAAGTTTCGTATTTGCTCTTAGTTTGCTTCATGCTTCATTCATACTTTGTCTGCCCTAATTTATACTATACGTTAGCAGCGGTAATATGTTGTTTATTAGCAGTTCTGTACGACTAAAGTTCTTCTTACCTGCGGAAGTTTTTATTCATGAAACAGTAAGTGATTGGGTTGCAACAAGAAGATACGTAGGACAATAAATGTAAAAGTGAGATTCCGACACCACCAAGGGGCGTGAGCAGGTCCTTCGAAAAGGACGCAATGGTGTTAACTACGTAAATTGGAGTCCAGCATACAAAGAACTCCAATACCTGCAAAGTAAAGGCATTATCAACAAACTAATACTTGCTGAAGTTGTACAAATCATCATCGTCATTATTACTCAAAACAGCCGAACATGTTACATGACAGAGTGACTGTTCGTTATTCTGATCTGTACCTAAACTTCTCTATTTTCAATGAATCAGCAATCCATGGCGTAGAATTAACTACTTCACAAGTTTCAAGTGCGAACCCTCGAGCGTGGTCGGCCATTAGCAACAGGTCGCTAATTAGTTATTGGAGCTTAATACCGATATACAGAACTGGGTTTTTTTCACCTGCTGACTGATTTTAGGCAGGCATTATGTAACGGTGTTTCGATAACAGACGAAGTCACACTTCGTCATTTTCGGCATCGCATGGTTTTATACACGAGACCCGGCGTTACAGAATTGTTCGGTAAGTACAGAAGCGTACCGCTGCTACTCTTTTTGTAAATATGTACATGTAGGTCTAGACTGAGTCTGGCTCGTCGGCTTAACAGTAAACAGCCACCGACCTATGCAACTTTGGAATAATGACTACCCTGTTCAGTCAATGTATACTCTTTTTCTACTGGCTGTCTCATCGACTTGTACACATTGTATGACTTACCGTGTTTACTGAACAACAAAGCTACCCCTAGAACTCACGAGTCGACCCTGCAGTAGACGTACGTCCTTTCGCCTTATGGGACACTAGTCACTCCGACCTTATTAGCAAAAAACAATCTGAGTGTACGAGAACAAACGCTACTGCTCATAGGGATCAAACACTCTTTAAAAAATAACTCGATAAATCTACTAGGTAGGCTCTAATATCATGGTTCCTCTCCATTGCATTTATTTACGCGAAATATCTTCTAATTAAACACCCTTTGGGGGGTTATTTTTAAGCAGCTTGTCTTCAAGATGAAACGATTGCATATTCTTCACAGACATACTGTATTTTCAAACAGCTTGTGTATAAATGTCCCTAAGAAATCGTGCATGCTCGAAGATCAAAACAACTGAAAGTTTTTACAGGTGAGTCTCTGTGGCCACACCTCTAATTTACCAGCCTTCTTTAGAGATCTAGCTTATCTCCACTGCGCGGAAGTCGAACCTTCCAGTGGAACCAGTGGAAGAGTAGTTAAACCGGTCAAGGCCGTTCTAAACAAAGAAAAGCATCCTGCATGAATAATTTGCCTCGTATTTCCATTGTTGGCTTATTAATTCTTACTTCTTCAGTCGGTTATGGTGTCTTCTTCTCAGCTAAGCAGAACATTTATTTATTTTAAAATTCAGCGTTTTCCTAAATTTTTGGTTTCGTCTTCAGCAAACATGGCATTGATGTCCTTCCGCTCCTTACGGCGAACTCCCAGCAGACCTGTTTGTATCACGAAAATCTCGTCATCGTATTGTGCTAATCCCAACGGCAAGTAAATTATCCGATTGAAGTTCTAGTATGTTTATTGTTTAGGATGCATAGGTTTTTAAAACCCATCACGTAACCAAACGATTTGTTTAAACTTTGAAACGAAGAAACCTTGGACCTTTATCAATACTCATTTGTAAAGCGCAATTGCCGCTATAAAATAATTTGTAACAGCGAAATAACTCTTATGTCATCCTCAAGTTTAGAAATATATAGTTGTAACAGAAGCATACCATAACCTCAATTATATTGTCGCCTGGAATAGAAATTCTCAAGCACTCAATAGTTTGATCAAATTATTATTAATTTGATATATACATATATATATATATGAGTTTGGTTATGTATTTTATAAATTGCTTTATCGCCAACCACTTTATTGCCCAAACGCTTTATCGATTTGCTCCCACTGATAGGTGACCGGCTTGACTGTCTAATTCTTTGTTCGAAAATGTATACGTTTTTTATTCCAGATTGGTAAGTATTTATTCAGTCCTTTCTTCCAATTCAGATTGTCCGTTTTTTCGGGTGCAAAACATTCCTGCCACTGCTCTTTCCAGTCCTCTTTTCAACTTCGCCTGTCGGGATAGCGCTCAACTTAGACAGCGGCCTTTCTACTATCTCTTCCATTCTCTCGAAACGTTTCCCTTTTAGGCCTCTTTTTAGATTTGGGAGTAAGAAAAAGCGTCGTAGAGTCTAAGCCCTAAGTGACCATGACAGTTAGGGCGTATCGCAGATTAAGTTTTGTTTCTCGAAAACTGCTGTACAATGCTGCATTGTCACAGAACAGTTTTTATTTTTTGCGTCGAGTGTGCAGTTATTTTAGGACTTCTTGATAGTGCCCCTTAGCGACTGTGAAGACAGACAGTATGAACTTGTGGTAAACGATTCCTCGACGGGCGAAAAAAGCCTTTTGATTTTGGACTTGGAAAGCGCAACTTTCTTTGGTCAGGGCTCATTTTTGAATCGATACGTCAGCGCACCTGTCGTGGCCGTACACCCACATCTCTATGCCAGAACGCTTACCTGCTCAACATTTAGCTATAAACTTTGCCGTGAGCATCTAGCCCCTAATGTTGGAATCTCTATTCTTTCTACTAGCTTTCTTCTGGTTATTCGCCCGTTGGCAAGGGCGACTTATTTCACTTTTTTCTATGTTCCCGTTCACAGTATCCGTAACAGGCTTTTGGTCGTTTTCAATGGATTCCTATTTGTTGAGACCATTGTTTACTTAGACTCTTTTCAGTGTTGGATCTCTATAAGCATCCTGCAGTATCGGCGGAAAGCATATGCGGTAGATTTTGTTTTTCATCCAAAAAAAAAACAAATACACGCTTATAGTACTCCACGTAGGTAAAATCGCAAAGCATCCAATACGTAGACTTACTCAATCCCACCGAAAAAGTCGAATTTGAATCAGATTGTTATGACATTTTACCTATATGCAGGAGAAGCCGCAAAGTTTTGCTCATGGATCACAAGCGATCATTTAGTAACTTGTTCATTTTACGCAATCTATTGGTAATGCATAAGGATTAATGCGGTCTAAGGATGAATACTGACATCGCCCAGCAACAAAAGCTGAACAAAGAGGTTTTAAGTTTGAATGTTCGTTAAACACTTTGTGGTTTTAACTCGACAACAGAACTTAAAACTTGGCAAAGCTAGAGAACAGCTTTTGCTTAGGGAGCTCGCAATACGAGTTGAGTACAGGTAATACGACTCTGTTCTGATGCCACTCTCAATAGGATAGAAGAGTCTACTTAAGCTGTTTGTTTCTGGCCGCAAGCTTATCATGTTTGCAACGCGATTTTCCTTCATCCTCCTTTTTCACCTCTGGACAAAGTATAAAATATAAATAACTCGTTAGACTGCCTGTAGTAAGTTGAAAAGCCCTGGATAGTAACGATAAAGGCGCCAATTCACTTAAAAAACTCCTTAAACACCAGATAAATGTGCAGCGGAAAAGCCTTCGTGCTCTCCAACCATTTAAAGCTTTTCTTTTAAAAACAATTTGCGGCATTTTTTACTTCTGCTTTCGTCGCAAGTTACTACACGATAAAAGATTAAGACACGTAGACAACCACTTTCGGAATACGTGAGAAGAACCAACAAGTTGGTTGGCCATCTGTGAGGATGCTCCTTTCCCTGCCATAACGTCCAGACGGCCAAACTTGTGAAGTCTTTGACGTACCAGATGGCTGACTGCTCTGCCAAAATGATCAGGTGGCCAAACTCGTTAGAATTTTCAAGCACCAGATGACTTCGTTCCTGCTACAACGTCCAAATGGTCAAGCTCGTTGGAGCTTTCAAGCGCTAAATGGGTCTCTTTCCTGCCACGACGTCGATACGGCCAAACTCGTAGGACTGTCAAGTACCAGATGGCTGTCTTCTCTGCCACAATAGGCAGACGATCACACTCGCTAAGGCTTTTTAAGTATTAGATGGCTCACTTTTTTTGATCGCAACGAGAAGACGGCCAAACTAGTTAGGCTTTTCAAATACCAGATGACTGCCTTACCTGCTACAGTGTCCAAACGACCATACTTGTTGAGGCTTTTAAGCAGTAGATAAACCTCCTTCCCTTCAATTATAAATAAATAAATCGACAAATAAATAGATCGAATTTATTTGAACGGTTTTACCGGGATTAGCATACAAGTAACCGTCTTCAATGTTTAGACTTGAAATGACGTTTTCGTGAGAAGAGATCAAATATGTATATCACTTTCATACAGAAATTCTATTGATAGAAAATTAACATACGAACGGATTTTTAACTAAACAATAACTCCGAACTGTTCGCTCAATATAGATTGTCTACCTCAGCACTTAGCCGAAGCCAAGGTCGCTGGCAAGCGAACGAGACTATATTGATTAAGATGCCAATTTACTAAGGCTTTAAATACGAAGAATTGTTCTAGTGAGTTTTTTTTTAGAGAAATGACAATAATGTCCGAGTCCTTACCTAGCTGCACACTTCCTACCGTAACAAAACCTACTCGGCTATTAAAGTGGTATACTCAGTGAGTTGCACTCTAACGTAGTGTTTGCTCGCTAAATTACACATTGGCACAAGCTTATTTTTCCATACCAATTCCCCTAAAACTATTATCGATCGTAGCTTGTGCGTCGAAAATACAGAACGTTTGAAAAATTATAAAGATTTATAGTGTTGAAAAGTTCTATTGCAGAGATATAGAGAAAAGCTACTTCGGAAATGTTTACAAGAATACAACGCAGCTTTATTGAAAAAATCATAACTTTTTCACAGTTCTATTACGGATATTGTTCTGCGAGGCGTCTCTGGTTTAGATTATACCTACAAGATATACGAGGAATATGCTGGAGCTATATCACTGTATCGTATCACGGTTCAAATGAAGACTTTCGATACCCCTCTGCTGAGCAATATGAAACGCGTAATTTCCTTGGCGTATGATTATCTATCCGGCACTAATCGAAGTGACGAGGATGTGTTTTCTACCATTGTATGGGTTCTTTAATTTAAACGATTTATCGTCGACAGTTTTTGCTACGCCACCCGATGTATCTAATTGTCCAAAGTCATTGTTTGGGCAGGAATGCTTGAACGCTGTCTGTCATCGGTTTGAAAGTATGGGCTTTTAAAATGCTCAAAATGTTGAACAGTTTTGTAAAAGTTATTTGAAAACTTCGTATGGCATCTTAATGACAATCTGAGCTGTTTATAAGTCTGTACATTTACCAGAGTTCTCAGACCCATTGTAAATGTAACCTTCACGCTCTAAAAGTTGGAAGTAACTTCCACCAGGTGTACTTTACTAACGAACGGTGGCCAATAGCACTTAGGGGAACAGGGTACATCCTGAGGTTTTGTAAGTACTATAGAGTAACTTGGATTTCCCTTTACTTTTTTTCGAAAAAAAACAGAACAACTGTGTTTGTTGATTTAATGTCGCTACAAGGCCCGCCACCTGGACTGCCTATACGTACTGCTTCTAATTCTAGACTAATTTCCACAGGTATAAGGAGTACACTGGCGGGAGTCAGTGCTACCCGATTTTAATAAGGAGCAGCGATTTGCACTTACCACTACGAACATCATCCGGATAACCTTTCGTCGAACGGCCATCCTCTGCTCATGGTTATTCGTCCTGAGGTATCTAATGATTTCCTCACGGTGGGTCGACGATGCGCTTACGGGACACTGGGCCGTCGGAGACCTACAGGTGCTCATCGTTGAAATCATCGAGTTAAAAGCTTAACTAACAAAAGTGTGTTACTAAAATTCTAATAAAAACTACAATACTTAAAGCGGGCACTTCTAACAACTTAAAATTCAACAATTAGAAAAATTTCGATTTGGGTAGTAAAATGTTGCTATTATTAGATAGGAAAAAATAATGAGTTAGGGCTACAAGAGGACGCGACCCCACGAAGCTCCAATACCTGTATTCCACAGTACTCTATGCTCCCTAAATTTTTCATGATTGAAAGCGCGACCGTTCAGCAGTGTGTTTGTGGAAACGCATGTGTGTAAGACGCAATTTCCACTAGCAGCGCGTATATTATTATCGTGCCGAACACGTACTTGGCGTCAACCACAGGAGACGAATCTGGGTCGTGCGTAGCCACGGTCGGAAGCGGTTGCGTGGCCGTCGGCTCTGCCGGGGGTATCTTGACTCCATGGCCGGGTAAAGATTCAGACGACTCTTCCGGAGCTGCCACTCGGCACCACTTGACGATTAAACGAGGCTCCCGTTCGATCATACCTTCGTTTGATTTGTGCGACATTACTCCGATGTCGCCCCGCGGGCCCATGATCTTAATCTCTGACATGCGTATGCATGTGACAGTGAGACAATCGTATTTTGTGGAACGGGGACATACGGATGATAACGAAAAAGGGAAGACAAAGTTGATTAGAGCTGAAACAATTGTGCAATATGTTCCTTTAACACTACGTACCTTAATTTGGCCGCTGTTTTTTTACATTTTGATATTTTACAAGTTTGATATCTAAATATTTTCGCATCATCGACATTTGCCTTGAAAATGCATGCCCAATTACTAAACCAATAATTTTATAAAGAATCTGTTATATTTATTGGGCACGGTTGAGATAAATACACCTAGGCCCAGTGTTAGAAAGGTATATATGTATGTATATATAAGAGATGACGCGCCGACTGAAACTTTTTAACAAATTCCAATGTTGTCAAACCACAAATTCTCTGACCTCGCTCAGTTGAGCTATAACGATGAGTTCGTACTGTTCGCTCGGGCTGCTAAAAGACAACGGAAGATTCGAGCTAATGTATACGAATCCTACGTACCAGATAAGAATGGCAAACCTATTTAATTGTTGTCTTTCACAAAATGTTTAATAAAGCTTCCTTCGTCTTACACGTTCTTTGATCTGAATCTATGAAGATCAGCTTCGAAGTATTCGAAAACGTATCGCTTGGTTGCGCTACATTATAACGGCGTAGAAAGATTGCAAATCCCTATTTCAAACTATACAAAAAAGAAACTCACAATCTCTTTGCTATTCACACAATTCCGAATTAAACGAAAAAAAAAAAAAAAAATCGAAGCCTTTGCTCGCTGAAAAAACTTTGACTCCGTTCCTTCATGTCCATCTGGATAATAGCTAAATGCGACAATATTCGGTATTTTTAACAAAAGAGCCAGCGCATTAATTAACAGCATACGCATCCCGTCAGATAATCCTGAATAAACAGAGTTTACTCAGAAGACATCGTATACGCTGTTGTTACGAATAAGCTGTTGTTCGAAAAGGAAAAATAAATACAACGCCGTAACGTACGGCCGACCTGATCGCCGGTAATGCAAAAATGCAGTTGACTAGAAGCTTCTAGGAAAAGTCCGAACGATATCTTTGTTCCAGCCCCTTGCGGCCTAGCGTTGAGGGTGATGATCACGGCTCACTTCAGCGTTAAGACGCTTTGACTTTGGGCAAAAGGTGCTTCAGGTCCATCTGCTCTCGACTGTCAAATGTAATTATGCTGCTGCTGCTGTTGCTGTTATTAATGATGGTGATATTATTCGCAAGGGAGTAACAACAGTTTTTTTATTTTTTGCAAGTTAAAATTAAGGAGATTATTTATATACTCATTTGGGGAGAATATACCAAGTAGTGTAGTGTATAAGCGTTTCGAGTTTTCATTCTAAATTTCCACTGCGCATTATATCATATCAGACGGTAAACTCTCACCACATAACCAAATCGGTAAGCAGCTGCCTAAATCGAAGTCAAGTACGACAAGGCAGGACCAGGCATTCCGATACACTAGAACGTTTCAGAAGATGAGGAACAATTCTATACGGCAGCATATATATCATAAGATCATTTTGTCTCTTGTTCTGGTAGATGAAAGATCATGTTCGACACGCAGTGAAGCTTTAAGTTACGATTCTGATTTAGTCGTTAAACGATCACAATTGTCATTTCCACCACAAGAAACACCGTCTATTTTTTGGCCGGACGAAAACCTCTCTCATTGACCCACAGAGCAATCAAAATCGTAGACATGCGATGCTTACCGCCCACCCCCCTGGACACCACAGACCTTTCACCCAGCCGTTGTAGGAATTTTTTTAAATTTCAAAATGAAACAGCGCAAAATGTCACTTGATCAGCAATCAGAAGAGACGGCACTTAGAGATAACGGTTACTAACTGTCTTTCTTTTCCATACTGCAAGACCTTCGTACGTATATCTGCGACAGATAGCGTCCCGTGAAAACTAATCGCTGCTGAAATCAATGGGGGAAGATGTGTACAGCTTTCTCAAATATGCGGACACATCTGGTGGTCTAAACAGATCTCTTGCTCGATTAAGAAGGCATCTTTGAAAGTCTGCATCGCTCGACTGCGCTTATTTGCTTATGTCGCTATACGCTACGACTAGAAAGATGAGAAAAATAATATTGATTACGTGTACCTAATCATTTCTATTGGAAAAAAAAACACACAAAAAATAACAGCTTAATATACTGAGCGTAAGGTTGGTATTAGCCATGCATGCATGCATACATACATACATATATATATAATCTGGAACAGGGTCGTCGTCGTCGCCGAAATCTTTATTGTGACAGCCAAACAAATTCATCGCTCACAGCCACGCAGAAAGCAATCCATTTGCAAAAAGATACTACCTCACCGTTCAGTTTAACAAAGTACCGGAGCTAAGTCAGAGGAGGTTCTTTTCCACGTGCCAGTGCGTAAACCTTGCCGTAAATAACCTTTCGAGTCAAATGGGGAGTTCGTCAGGGTTTTGGCCGTACGGCAGAAAACATTATTTAGTGCCTAGCCGGGATGATAACTGGAGTTCAGAAGAACGGACTTTTACATGGTCTTGTCGTTTCCATGAAAGTCTATCTACCAGTTAATAAATATCGACCTTAGATAAACGGAAGCGGATAGACGCGCGTTTGATTTGCAGCAAAACAGCTACGATCTGAGATGAACCGGCATCTGATTGACAATGTTTCCGGCTCTCACCTAGTATTTAAATGTTTACGACCAAGAAGTTTGGCGCAGACTGATATCCGATGGAATCTGTGTTAAATAACATTCTATATAAAGAAAGAAAAAAGTGAATTGTACTAAATGCAACAGAGTGAACAAAATTAGGCTCATCTCATGATTTTCAAAGTTAGCGAATTTCAACAAATTGATACGTTCCTATGTTCTGGAGCATGCGTAACAGAGGTCACGGACAAGTACGCGTACAATGGCGCTGTAATTTTTTTCTCAATAAAGCCCTTCCTCGATATTTGAGCCGATCACTTACGCGTGTCTTTATGCGGAATAAATGCGTAGTAAATGAAAACTATGTAAGACCGTTCCATGTCATTTACGCCACTTAGATCCCCGGCGGTCGAAGTTAAGAACACTTGGTGCTAGAGAATAAAGTGCGCCCTGTTTTGTCGATGCCGGAACAAAACCAGCGAACCCTATTAGATTGTATTGGTTAAGACAGAAATGGCAACGTCAAGTAATGCATTAACGTCTTTCAGCAAACGTTTACCGATAACTAGCAGTCGTAACAAATGCGTCTCTAATCGTGAACTGTGAATATTTAACAGCTATCTAGACTGACCCTAGTAATTCCGCATACACGCTGGCGTAGTGCTCGCGCGGACACGACGTCGAGCTCCTCTGCACAGCTCTGACCGGAGTCGCAAAGCCTAGAACCGGGATCAAATACTAACCATTACTAGATCTCTCGTTGTCACGGATTCCCTTTCGGAGAGTAACGGTGATATTTATGTAAGCGAAAGCCATTACTGCAAGAGGGATAACGAGAAGTAGAAGATCAAGCATCACCGTGAAGGCAGTTTCGACAGTTGGTTCAGGCCATGCCTCACGGCATTTCTGACGGCCTGTAAAAAAGGCGAAAAGAAGGCGTCAAGGTCATATTAACAAAACGTCAATTATGTCTTCTGTTCCATAGAACTAACATCTGACAATGAAGCATCGAACCTCCGTTTCACGCATGTGTCGTAGAGTAATCAATATTCCGGTTTCCAAATGCATGTAGAGTGGCAAAACTGACGCCCCAGTTCAAAGTAGAACGCGAATTATGTGCATTTGTGCGCTCATATGATGCTTTTTACACATAGTCGTTCATAAATTTCGTTTCGAAACACGCCACGTTCTATGTCGTAACAAAGACGCTGCCATCATCCTTAATATGGCCCGTTGAGCGGTTCGTATCCCGAACATAGAAGACCGTGGGAGTTCACTGGATAATTCCCGAAGAATGTTCTTGTCTGATTGTATCCAGCCTTAATGAAACATATAGCGCCATCTATAATTTTACCTATTTACTCTTTTTCAACGAGTCAAGAGGTGCGCTTTGCGTGCTTGTATCACGTCTCGCAGGACCCGCATCGTCGACGCTTATAGTACAAGCAGCTGAACGCTGCTTGAATGAGCATATGAACCTTAAAAAGTTATTTTGCTAATAAGTTCAATTGGGAATATTATTATTATTAACAGTAGATCGATCGGTATAAGGAGATCGATGACGAGCGTGGGGGTGGTCTGTCTGCACGCGTCGAGAAAGTGCACCACATACTGCTTTATACAACTGATATATGTGGCATTTTATTACACGAATCACGTTTAACTAGCGTTAGTTTCCCGTTCGCTTATTTTATTAATGTAGATTATTTCCGAATCAGGTGCGTCGCTGGCTTAAAGTCACATATATTCGTCGGCCAAAGAGCCTATAGCTAGCTATATACAACATTCTATTTTTCGATGTTGGTCAATGAAGACGCTTGCTAAGATCTACTGCGTAAACCTAACATAATTTTTTAACGCTTTTTCGACGCAGCGCCCAACGGCGCTATTGATTGCACAGTTTTTACAACGGTGCACGTGATGGCTGTCAGGTAAAACTTACTGGCCACATACAGACCGTTGTTACAACGAAGTTAGGTAAGTTAGTTGGTAAGATTTTCACACGTCGAAGAATTACGTTTCACGAAGTGACATTGCTTCGCGTCATTATGCGTTGTTGTTTTTTGAGTCTTTTTTTTGTTAGTTACGTAGGTTGTATTTCTCGCCATCTAAAGCAAATGAGAAACAAGCATTTGCTGAGCTGCGATATAGTTCGCTTTCAATGCTTCTAACAAAATTTACACGTAAAACTAGCGACACCCTTTTGTACCTATTACATTAATGATAACAATAGTCATCATTGCTATTGTTGTTTATTTATGTAAGCAGTACTAACTAACGGTATAAATATATTGAAAGACAATTTGTAAAATAAAACAATGGATCTATGAAAAAGGATTACCTCTGGTGCAGCAAGTTTGCCAAATTTAATCGCCGTTAAACGCTGCCAACTTATCGATCGCAGGCCCGGTCGGTGAGCTTACTATATATTATACCCTATGGCAATTTTAATTAGAGATAATACCCATGGTAGATGTTCTTTTCAGCTAAAACTTTTCACTTAATAGGCAAGAAAGTTCGTGTGCTATGCTAGAACGGGTGTTCCCATATTAGAAACAAAAGCGTTACAAGTATAGTATGGGTACCTTTTCCAGTAGGCTGTAATCGGTTGAGCAGGAAAACTGGCAACATGGCGGTGAGGGCAAAAACCCAGATTACGAAGACGCAATGCCATGCATGTGACGAAGCGTACCAGCCCCGCGACTTCAATGGCTCGCACACCGCATAATAACGTTCGATTGAGATCATTACTAGTGTCCAAGCATTTACCGCAACTGTCACCCCTGAAGCGCGAAACAATGAAGTTTATAGGAACACTGAGTGAGCCGCTGATGGAACAGTTACTCGACGTGAAGACGTGAATATTCCGCCCCCTCAAGAAAATAAATTGGTAGAAAAAATCTGCTTGTCCGCTCATAAACACATATCGAGAGTATAGATTGCACAGCCAAGGAAAAACGACGACCTTGTAAAGAATGACAGGGTTTATAAACTTAATCGAGAGATATATTTATTCAATGTTTAACAAAATTGTGCCAGCCATAAAGCGTCAATGAAATGATTGAGACAAACGTACCACAGCCATTATCTAAAATGCAGATACCCATATATATATATATATATATATATATATATATGCGCGTTCGTAGCTATATATACATACCGCAGTTTGCGCTCCTCCATCTCACTTTGTTAGCCGCCCTAGGTTTAAATGACATTAGCAACGACGAGCAAATGATGGCATTAACAATTGCAGGAAAAACGTTTTCTATTGCCATATGTTCCATTTCGCTGAATTTGCTTTGTCTATCGGTATCACCATCAGGATCAATAGCGTCGTGCTATCGTAGGACTGTAGGCCGGCTTACAACGGTCGAGTGATGAGCGTAGAGGCAGATGGGGCGTTAGAAATTGAAGTTGGCCGTCGATGCAGAATGACATCATTAATGGCGACTGCCGGCACAAGGCAACGGCACTATGTAAGGACAAAGGCAGAATTGCTAAATAGGCACAGAACAAGCGAAGGCCGAATCGAAAGATAGAACGGGAAAGAAAGTAATCATCACGCGGGCAGTGCATCCGCAAACGCATTTCTAACAGACCCCTTCCATGTAGCACAAAACAGGTCGTTCGATGGGCAGCGTAACGCCTCGAATTTGGCTCTCCTATTGGTTGGGCTTTCCCTTTTTGAAGCGTGCGAAAATCAAAAACACCGGCGACTCAGAAATGTCCCACACGAACGAAGTTGAGATAAGATGCAGGCATAAAATTGGGCATTCCATCTGGCTGTCCATCTGACAAGTACCATTGCTGATTATAAACATCCGTTCTTGGTAGTTGGGGGTTAGCAATGGATATAGGAGACTATGTTTGATAATAAAATACATGTGAAATACGCAAGTCTATGGAGCATTAGTTGGGTTACTTCAACCTTGTTTGTATCAGGATTTTTAGTTGTGATTTAGTTATTCTACGCGTAGTGAACAACTGTTTTTCTCTTCCACATGACATTATGGCTAGGAAAAAACACTCCTTGATAAACAATTATCTTGAGCGTCGTTATCTATTCAGCTGTCGGTTATGAAACCTGTTTTTGTCTCATGTCAAACGAGCCACTTTTTTTACGAAGAAAATATTACTTACCTTGTAGATATGGAATGACTTTGCACATGATTTCGCCAAAGACGAAGTTTCTAAGTAGGACGCCGGATAAGGTGACGGGCATGCAAAACACGCCCAAGAGTAGATCGCTCACTGCCAAATTCAGTAAGAATACGTTGGTTGCCACCTGTAGGTAGGAAACAAGAACAAACGTAAGAGTCAGATTCAGACGGGAACTCGCCAGGCGAATCGTAAGGTACTTCGAAACACCCCTGTACCGACATGCTTGTGAGCCTCACCCCGCTTTTAAACAAGGTACTGTTTTTAAGCCCGCATGTATTCTTAGCTACGCTGGCAGCGTCTTTCTGATTAGTTGCTCACTCGACGAAACGTGTTTAAGCTCAAACAGAATCGGTCAAAGCAGCTACAGCGGACAACAAGCATTTTACCCGACTCTAAACGCAACCGGCCGTACTTATCCATACTACATAAGTATATTTAGAAGATCGTTAACAAGAAAATTAGCAGGATATTGATTTTAAGTAAGTGAAAACAAAAGCAATGACAAGTAGAACACAGAGTTGTGTTTCGAGTCATTTTAAGCTATTACCTGTTGCTCAGAGACGCTAGATATAACTTATCTACGTTTTGTGAAAGCTTGCGGCATCACAAATTAAGCTATTGTTGAATTCGCTGAAATATTTGTATTAACGTCTATATGGTGAAGTTGAGATTCTGTTCTGGTTCAGAAATAAGTAGTTCCTATTGAGTGCAGACAAAAGTGATGACCGTTAACAACAGTGTTCCCGTACAGCGTCAACCCGTGCTAGCATTTTTAAACACAAAAAATAATTATCAGAGGTTGTTAGAACGGTAACGACGATTTTTTCTTATTGTTTCTTCATTGTTTTATTCGTGTCGCGAAATTCTAGTTTAAGAATAGGTATGTCAAGCGGCAAAAAGTACAATGTCTTACCGATACTCTGTCAGTTTTGGATGTACGAAGAAGACCATAGCTAGAGGTGTTATTCAGAGGTGGCTTGCTAACGTCGACCGTTGGTTGAATCTTTGATTAATCGAAGGTACTTCATCTGGCTTTTCGAGATCGGCTTGGATTGCATGAGTCTATACTATCTAGTTGTAGCGTTTTCGCCAGATTGCTTCGGTAGTTCCTTGACATCGGCAAAACACTGGTGTTTATTTTTTATCTGACAAACCCATTTCAAAAGCACGAATCCAGCGCGAAAGTTGGAGGAGAAAGGCAATATCCATTACTTTTGTAGAAGATGCTGCACAGGAGATTTCGAGAAGAAATTACTTAATATCCGGCGTTTTGAAATATTATTATATGTCGCTGCCATAATATACATCTATAATTTAAAGGAACTCAATCTTTGTTTACGTAGCGTTCCAAGTACCGAAAAGACTATTTGTTCGATGAAATTCTACCCATATGTAAAGCGTTATCATGTACTGACATTAGACGAGGTCGATCGAATTTGGGGTCTGCGATACCTTTGCATAGATGGAATCGCAACGTCTACAAATATTTCAAGCGTTCCGCAAAGGTTCCGTAAAAAGCAAGGTTATTTTGTTTTGGTGGGAGACATTGGTTGAAAAACGGCAAAAAAATACTTGAGCAAAACTATATTATCCCTCATGGAATCTTTCCTGACTGAGATCTTTCATAGGGCACGTCCAGACACTAGCTTTTGAGAGCACCTGGTTACAAGGAATGCCCATTCTCGAAAAATTCTTTAATTTCAGAGAATTATTACTTTGTTGGTATAAATAAATAAGCCATTCAAATGACCCAACTCCCGTTTCGCACACATTAAGGTCCCTGTATATCCTTGCGGGTTTCATAACATTCAAAATATACAACAAAACTGCAACTATGCAAAAACATATGAAAAAATAAAACGTCAAAAAAATAAATTTAATAAAATTGAAAGGATTCTGGCGTGGCTTTTATTTCGTAAATAAAAGAAAAGAACATGCTTATATATTCTAACCTTCTTAAAGATATTTGTTTGTGGTATATGGCGTAAGCGTGGGTAGCTTGACTTATTTGGATAGCCATTGCGAAAGTTACGTTTATTATGAAGCAGACAATACCCTGACGTGATAAATGGGGCTGGGTCACTCGAACGAATTGGGTTTAAGTGATGTAGCTTCGTTTCTTAATGCATTCAAAACTCGAAAGAGAATGCCCTTGCGGTATTGTGATATGGTTAACACTCGTCTATTGAACACTTTTCTATCGGTATAAACCAGATGATACTTGCGTTCGTTGAACCTATTCCTCTGTGTTGATACGAATAACTATTGATTTTAATTTCTCAGAGAAACACAGGCGATAAAACGGACGGCATCGACAGCTATCGGTACTGCGTATAGTTTTAGTATCTCTTTATATAGAATAGCGTAATAAGATTAATATAGCGACAAACTTATTCCAGCGGCATATCCAACGATAGTTCTTCAACGGCATAGCAGTATAATTATATCATTCAACTATGTAATTCCCATTTGTCTCCTGCGGGCGATCGATGAATTACCCAACGACTGAAGATCGAATACCTAGAGCAGCTTCTAACAACAACGTTATGGAATTCATGCGGCATTGTCCTATAATAATCGAGAATATGGAAGCTATTTGTGCTTATTTATTTACCAACAGGGACAGTATCATATCGTTGTACTTTTTGTAGCTAGAATGAAGATTTCTTGACTTCTAACGAAGATAGAATAGTTTTATTTATTTCATTCCTTTTCCAGCTCACACGCGCACCGTCGGTACAGGCTACACGCAAGTCGATGCAAGACTAGATTAAAAGCACACAATATTGCGTTATTATTCCTATTATGCACAAATGGTGCAAAATTCTATGTGCTAAATGGTGGACCTGCCTAGCGTGCTGTTGTTAGCAAAAATCTACGTGTTGATACCGACGTCGTAAACGTGCACGATATTTTTACGAGCTTTGCTATTGAACGTGGTTATCCGTTCTGTCTTCCTCAATCGTTCTGACTTTTTGTTCTTCTAAATCTTATTTGTCGGTTAAAACAACAATATACTGCGTTCGAGCTCGTGTCATCCGCGCTTAAGCTAGTATTTAATCCCAATCGCGCGAATCATGTACTATGATGAAGTCATCTATACAACAGAATCGTCAGTGATGATTAGCCAAAAAGGTATTTTGAAAATCAAACGATCTTCATTTACCGTCCCTAAATTCATTTTAGTCAAAAATAGCCTTGAGACTAGTCGAATGACTATCTGAAGCCGTCCTTAAGCCACTTCTATCTCAACTGTGCTCATTAGAAGGTGGGGAAACCAATCTACTTCACAGACAATGCCAGACGAAGGACTTAATCACTTTTTGTTAAACGGAGAGAAAAGCTGAGTACCTGGAGGTGCCATTATGGAAACGATTAACATTCAAGATAACAACTAAAACCAATATTGGGGATATTAGTCCTAGGATAGGGGTGAATGAGGGCACGAGCTCAGCGAACGAATGAAGTTTTCCATTGTTCTATTGTCAGACACAAATTTATCTTTAGCTAAACAGTATAATTCAACAAAGCTTTCGCTTTATATTGAGCAATATCATTTCGTCGTAACTTGAATTATAGATCGATTAAGATTCGGCAGCGCTGATCAAAACAGCTAATTTAAGTATAGAACTTTTAAAGCGAAACTTTCATACACACTGTAAAAAGATCGATATTTCATCCTACAGGCCAGAAGGAGATATGAAACAATTGATTCCGACAACTGACTCACTTTCGGTTCCATTCGTCCAAATGTTTAACGACATTCCCATAGATCGCTCTGGAATATGCCAAATTCATTTGGAACAAATACACATTTTGGAGGTTGCATTATCGACTTTACAAGTAACAGTGGACCCAGTCAATCTGAGTCGTCTATCTCACTTGTGCGTGCAGAAAGCAATGATCTGAGGGCAGCGAAATCAACGGTCAAGCAACGAAGCAGACGATCGCAGTAATATAGCCCTAACAGATAACTCATCTACTCTGAAGAAGCCCCATTGGCCAAGTCTAGGCCTTTAAATGGGTCTGGTTGATTACTCTATATCAATACGATTTATTGCACCGGACGACCAGCAGTCCCCAGACTAGGGATAGCAAACCAATCGAGAACGACAGAAGAAGCTCGGGCCTAATCCACCGCATTAGTCATTTCCAATCGTAGCTCGACGGAGAGACCGCATGCTCTCAATGCAAACGCGCATGCACGACCGCTTGAGTGGCCGTGCTAAATATCAATTAAAACAATGTGAGTTACACAACAAAAGTCGATTGAAAGTGCTTAAGCGTCAGCTACAGACAAACAAACAGTGTTCATATTCAACAGAAAAAAAGAACGATATTGCCGTACCTAGACATCTCATCATGCCTTTATTATGTAGAATATATAGATGAGTCCCTGAAATAGCTGATTCGTTTATCCGTTCGCTTGAAGCCCGCTTTTAATATTAGGCAGCATCTTCTTTAGCATCTTTTCTACGTAAGGTCTATCGGCGTACATGTTGACTTGAGTACTGAAGTTAAAAAAACGAAGATTTTCTTACAAGTACAATCCGGTACACCCCAATACAGGGCTACACAGAGGGTTTCGATGAGGGTGCGATAGTCAGACACTCCCGTGATTGATTATTTGCTTGATAAGCTTGGGGACACGTTGCGGTCTAGGTTCGAGTTCTGGTAGAAAATAGAAAAATTTTGTTTCGTGGTGGGAGCCAGACGTCTGTGTGAGGACGATACCGGACGTAAAACTCGAAACATAAAGGCAGATATAAGAAACAGCAATGTTGATAAGGCAAGATAGGTATACAGCTGTCAGTTCTGCTTCAGCCCTGATTTAACTTCTTTCGCCAGCGGTAAACCCAAAAGAAGTGCATACGGTTACTGGTAAGTTTGCCAACTACTTCTGCCTTGGCGTCCTTGTTCATTTATAACAAAAGGAACGTCACTTCTGCGAACAATACTACCCCGTATTGAGAGAAGCCATTGTTAACAGACCTTACGAATTTTAATATATGAGATAAAGCAAAAAGGCACTAATAAGACCTTAACAAGTGCCGGCCGATATAGCAATGCTATCAAAAAAACGTTTTGTATTCGTACTTGCTGGTTCTATTATATGCCAATGCGTGCGCAAAAGCTGTGGACAGAACACACTATGTTGGAAAAAATAGAAACTTTGAAGAACAGCGGTGGCGTGACAAGCCTAAGCTCTGCAACGAATGAGCTTCGTTATGTCACCGAAAGCTAATTGAATCGGGTGAGATTTTCCGAATCTACACCAAATATCTGAGGGAATAACACACTGTTTCGTTTCAGGTAAAGCTTAGTTCATAATCCACTCGTCGAAAAACCCAGCCATCAAGGTTGTGAGAACTATGGGTTGAATAGAACTAGGGTCAGACAATCGCCTGTTATGAAAACGACCTTATGGAACATTCATAAATATATTTCAAGCTGTCTTCGCCAGAACGGCTGAGCCAATGAACCAGACAAAAAACAAACTATTAACTTTGAACATTTCAAACCTAAATATATTTCAAAATATACAAAAGCTGGCATCTGTTATATCATTTTTATGTATATATATATTGACACTGATTAGCGCTAACTTCTTCGACAGGGGGCGAGTTATTAGCTTCTCTATTAAGGAAGGCAGACTGTTTGGCCTTTGTTCTTTTTTTTTTAGGAAATACCGATCGAACATGCGGATAATCTCGAACGACCAATAGACATGATATTGATTCAGAGAAACCTCAATGCAATTGCTATCTACCTGTTAAGTTTTGTCGGTATCTAGTGTATAGTACACATACAGTAAGATTGCCGACGGGTTGTGTTTGTTACCGGTATTGAGTTAGTAATCAAAGTTAGTGATAGAAGTATCCATGAATCGGGTTCAGTCTACAATTTGTTATCATTCTAATACAAGCACTATGGTAGTAGCAGATAATGTCGCCAAGATTAAAACCGTGCTAGGGTACAACTCTGATTTATAGCGATGAAAACTTCTCTCGTAGGTGGAACGTTTAGATAATAGTTTTGTCGTATATGTAACTGTGTTTAATACGATAGGCATTAATAAGGTAAGCTAAATCCATCTTATCGTTTTTTGAGAAGCCACGATCCTTATGTTACGCATGGTTTAATGGCAATAATTTCGCTCTATAAGTATCCTTTCGATTGTACGAAGCCTATGCTAGTGGGTTCAACAAAAATTAGTTGCCCAGATACGTAATTACAAAAGGTATCTATCGAACTCAAAAACATCTCTAATATGCATACTTGGGTACGTTGATACATTAACCATATGATCAGTAAGCGACCTGCCGGTCAGTGTTGTTTCTTATCTCAGCGTTAGCAACTGATGACAGTAGGTTCGTGGAAATGGGAAAGGAGGCTAAAAAACTTCACTCTCTGGCAATCTATGAAGTAATATCGGAAACTCATTCCGAAGATTTGACCAGGTTTTAAGCTAGCAGAGAAGAACCAGCCCGAAATCACACGAGGTCTCGAAGAAAGATGTATCTAAAATATATCATGTACTTATGTAAATAAATTTAATTTATTGTTTTTGTTGCACGTGAGCAATATGAATGCAAAAAATTGACCTAAAAGTTTGGGCTATCAGAACCGCACCGCAACGTCTCGTACACAACGTTGACTTACGAAAATCGAAGAACAAAGTTGGAATAGCTTTCCGTCAATTTTAATTCTCGCTCAAATAAAGGACTGCATATGGTTATGACCAAAGAAATCCCCTAACAGACAGATATGAACTTTTGATTTGGACTATCTACAAGAATAAAATAGTAGATGACTGGGCGATCGACGGCACTTCAGCTTTACGTAATCCAAAGTATTCAGATAGTCTTTATGCCTATTTTTTTTTTAAGCAATTGCATTATAAAGCAGAAACACTGAAAACGGAAAAAAGCGATACAATCAGAAAAAGCTGCTGTTTATGACACAGTCTGTGATGATGTTGTTTACGTCGGATCAGATGATGTCCAAAGCAAGTACATGTATCCGAGGGGAACAAACCTTCTATTTTCGACCTCTTCTTGGAGCTAGTTCCGCAAGATTACCGCAGACACGACGGACATACCTATTTTCCTAAGCTTTTTCTTGGGAACGTTTGAACTATTCACTTCAAACTAGGCAACATACGTTTCTTTACCAGGCAGATATCCCGTCCGTATTGAGTCACCTTCAAAAACGGAAAATGGCAGATAGGGACAAACATTTCAAAAAAAGCCATTAGCAACAATGGCGCCATCTAAACTCGACCAGAACACTTAATGGCCGCGAAATAAGAAATATTAAAAGTTTTCATTTTCCATCCGTTCGGACAGCAGAGGAATTAAATGTAGTTAAAATAAACATTTGATAATTGCCAATCTCCACGTCAGTACGTAGTAAGTCAATAAAGTTTAGCTCAAAATAACAATGACGTTGAAAACAGTTGTTTTCATGATAGACTTCTCATAGCTGTGGACCGCTACCGCAAATTATTAGGCCTTTACACAGCTATTGCTTTGGCCTTAAAATTCGAATCCTAGTAACCGCACAGTACGCCACTTATTGAATGAGTGTGAGTTTTGTATAAAAGTAGTTACTAAGTTGGCTATTTTGCTATACAAAATAAGCTAATCGTCATGCCACTGCTCTATGATTTCATCATTCACATGCTCCCACGCAACGCCGCTTTGCGTCAGGCTTGGTCGGGCTGCACAAGAGGGGAAACCAGAACTTCATTAACTTACGTAAGGTATTAAACGCAACTCCTTATTTGCTCAGGGTGGGTTATCAACGTAGGATGGTTTATGTAAAGTCAACAATCTAAATCAGTAGGCACACTGCTAAGGCAGCCACATTTTGCTTAAATACAATAAACACGGTTGGAAACTAGACAGAATGAGGGACAGGCATGACAAGGACCCTAAAAAACTAAAAGCCGTTGTTTTTATGGTTAGCTGTTACCAATAGTTTCCAATGGGCAGACTTACTTAAAAAAACAATGTACTTAATCAAAGAATTAACTGACATAAATGTAATAGTGCAAAAAAACAGGAAACTCCTGTTTTACCTGCGTTGATATTGAAGACAGTTCGTGATGCATCGGTACACAGTGTAGTTCTACTCAGAGTTTTAGGAAGTTAGATTACTTTGACCAGTATGGTAAGGATTTCGAAATAGATAGGTAAAGAGTTCCTAAAAAACACTTTTTTCTTAATAAATAACATATAGCTCGCTGCAATATTATCGTTCAACGGTAGCTACAAGCCGCGTGGATCTATCTATTTAAAGAACGTCTACTTGATTTTTAAGTATTATCTAGCTAGTGGGAACCTGATCGTCTGTAATGATACAACTGAGTTATACTCCAAAATCAAGGTAACTTCTAGTTCAAATACTTTTGCTTTTCGATTAATTCCTATGTATCCCTGATTTCGCACCCACCTTTCCTCTTTGATTCCTTGTGAGCGTCAGTATAACGAGCAGATTCCCGACGAGTCCTGTCGCAAAAATCGCGCCGTACGATAGAATGAGCAACGCGGAGGAGTCAAATATCGATGTTTGTCGCGCCGATACAGAAGACACCAAAATCACCGATACACCATTGCCCATCGATGCGCTTCCCGTCACCATCACGTCTAAGGCTGTTTCCGCGTCAGTGGCGAGGTCGCCGAGAGTGCCTCCGCTAGCCATTGCCACAGCCTCTGCTGCCAAACTCGACCCACCGCTGCTACTAACACGTTCGCCGACTCCAGCGCTGACGCTTACGCCGAGGCTACCGGTGAAGTCAATAATGGAGTCGTCTTTTGCGCCTATTCCGGCCCCACCGATGACATCCATCATCAGCATACTCCCGCTTTCATTCATGTCGCATGGCGATTGTGCAGCCCGAGGCGCTTGAGGGGCGACAACAACTGGTTTCGCCAATTTACAAGCGCTGCGATTGCTACCACTATGCTGCTAGGAATATCACCACCAGCACTAGCACCGGCCTTCCTTGGACTTCGGCTTGGAGGCCGCGGCTCGCCGTCTTCCGCTCCTCCCAGCTACAGCAGCAGCAGGAAATATCGAAGCCGTTCGCTACATGACGATAATGATTTTGAACTAGAAACGTAACAGAACGGGACGATAGGACAAGTTAGAAAAGGCCATCATCGCTTCAGAGGTAAACATCTAATAAATCCAACAGAGCTGTAAAATTCAGGTCAGAGCAGGCATTCAATAAAAGAGATATTTGGTAGCGTAAAAACGGTACTGCTGTTCGTATCTTTCTTGAGCTAGAGAAGCCTTTAATCTCGAGTAGCAATTTAGAAGTCAGAGGGATGAATTTGACTAATACTTTTTACGTGTAGCTCCGTTAGTAATTCAGTTTTGATAAAAAGCAACAAAAAATTATGAAGCAACAGCAGAGATCACCAAATCGTAAGACTTTTCCGCTTTTGATGATGCTTCCGATACACAAAAAGAGCTGTATAACATGTTTTTGACTAGCCTCTATATAGAAGTGAAGATCCGAGATGGAATCTTGAGCCTGAACCGCTTCGTGTAGCCTTTTTAGGCATCGCTTTGTACCCATCGACATAAACTGTACTTTTTTCAAGTTCAATAAACATAACGCGTGTTATGTACATCTTTGTACTTCTTCGTAGCGTGTCACTTTTGCGTGATAAACGTATATTTTGCACTACTTGTTTATTGAATCTGAAAGTTGAACCATTGTCTACACAGGTGCGAATTGAAATCGATTTGATTTAATTAAACTGACTCAATACGGTTCCATTCGATATTCTATGGTTATATAAACGTTACATGCCATACTTTGATATCGTGTACTCGCTATCGCGATGGCAGTTTTGTAGCTTTGTCCTCTCACAGAATATTACGCTACTATGCTATTTTTTTTTGTATCTTTTTCATTTTGGGCGTCACACCTGATCAAGGCCCAACTTCAGCAATATCATAATTCATTATAAATCTGAACCAAAGTACTAACAGTAGTATGCCCGCGGTGTACACTATACGCTGTAAAGAAAGGGCTTAAGGGGCCAGAAGGCCGGCCCCTCGATACAAAACTCGTTTACCTTCCTGATGGCCACTAAATGTCCCAGTTTATAAACTAGATTTATTGGTGCTCTGCGACTGATACCTGTGCATAGAAAATCGGAATAAAAATTCAATGTAAGTATTAATAGTCTGCGTGCATTTGCATGATCTTTCTCACGGCATCAACGAGAGGCGCTCGTTTCTAAGCAAAAAATCACCGATACGGATGCTATTCTTTCACCGTTACAATATATCTTGCGCGAGTGTATTGTTTCTTTTAGAGCGTAGTACTCTTTTTAAGAATTTTCATTTTCGACATTCAAAAGCATGTATGGTCACTTGAGATATGTCTCTCTCTGTGAGAGAGAGTGTCACTGAGATATGTCTGTTCAATTTTATATCAGATTCTCTTAAATACAAGTTGTTGTTATTACCCACTGTAATTCTTATTACTAAGAGCGTTATATGCTCTGTACTGAATATCGACGGTCTTTGCATCGGACGTGACAATGGCATTAAGTGTTAGCAGTTCGAGTGAATATATTAACAGGCAGGATTACAAACAAGGCTTCAATGAAACGTCTTTCTGGGATTACAAGATTATTCTAATCAATGAAAGCTAGGCCGAGATTTTTTTATCCGATTGGCGTCTATGATCAAATCATAGACAGCAGCTAAATTCACAATCTTATAGCTACTAGTCCCTTTGTTAGAATTACTAAGTTAACAGCATAAAAAACGTGTGGGCATTGAGTCTGACTGGACCTCAACCCCAAGGTCTGCCATAGACAATTTGATATAAACATGGCAGATCTCAAACGCTTCATTTTTTACAACCTGATTTGCAGACAGAAGCGGGTATTTAGAAAACTGATAAAGTAAATTTGAAAATCTGTATAATGAAGGTGCGCGCAATCTATGTTCGGTACGTTTGATAATCTGCATAAGAGCCCTCTCTCCGCCGAACACAATCGTTAAATATCCATACGGCGCAATAATGCGGGTGTCGAGAAAATTGCATCCGGATTGGAACGTCAAAATGGCCGAAACGGGTGTGTGGGCACTTTCCCAACATCAATAACCTTCCTTCGTTCGACCAAAAAGCATTATGAATATTTTGAAATTGAGACTTTTGTTTATAGCGACAACGATCTCGGCCCCTCTGGCGCCGCTAATGCCCTTGAGTTTGACGGTTATTTTCTTTATTTTTCCACCTTGAAATCGGCGATTTGGGACCTGACACCGGATTGACACCGAATACAGCGGACTAGATTGCCAAACCTTTATAACACATTTGTCTCTTTTAACTTACGAGGTAATCAGGTCAGTGCCAAGCTAAGCTACTGCTTCCATACTTGTCTGAAAGGGCACAGAGGGAAACTGAATCAGATTCGGTCGAATAGCTCTTTTCCTTCCATGGGCGGGAATAGGTAAAATTGAACGCATAGCGACATGGCGCCCAGGAAGCTTGGCAAATGCGTTTCTGTCAAACTACAAAAGCAGAAGTCAACGATGGTAGTCATGACGCACCTTGTTCGAGGACTCGGCCTTACAACGACTGACGTTGAAAGCACAATTCACGAGCGCTGCCTTACTCAGGCGTGACTGCTATATGTCACCGTTCACGCTTGACGAGGTAAACGCTTGGGAGGAAAAGAGGGATTCATCTTCCTGAGTGCTTGTATTAGGGGTTTCGACCACAACTTTGTTAAGAAGCTCTCAAAAACAGTCGATGCCCGTAATGAAGCCGGTATTCACTACCTTCAGCTCGCTTACAAGAAGATCTGTAGCGCGGTCTCTGATCTGACTCTCTTGTTGTTGACTTGTTAATTATACAGGAGCAGCTGATTACTCATTACATTACAAAATGAGCGTTTCGGCATCGAAGGCCACACGTTTAAGAAACTCATCCCTGTTCATGAATCCGTCGTTAGTCTCTTGACTCTTTATCGTCTATTTTACTCCCTTACACTAAAATAGCACAGACATCTGCTTATTGCAGGCGGCAATTAGCGAGGCAGCAGGTGGCGACGCACTGTGCCTTATAATTGTAAAGTTCGCGTCAGACACTCCGGCACGCCTAAGAGCGGCTATATACAAGACCCTTCCATCTATCCAGCCTAAATGAGGAGGGCAAGTTTCATAACAATGCCCCTAACAGCCGTTATATCCCAGGGCTGATAACAAAAGCTGGAACATTTCGCTTCTTACGCTTGCCCTAATAAACAAAACTTATTGCATGTAGCGAACGTTTGAATATTTGCAAATTTCCAAATTCTGTGAGGGACATATAGGGAGCAATCCAACGTAGGATCGTGAGATTCGCTTATTCAATGCACGATTTTATTTCTCGATATTCCTATAATAACAATAAGCTCTTCGTAGAAACAGCTAGTTTTTCGGGTGAGAACTTGGCTGGCTTAACCCACCAGTACCTAATGTCCCGACCGTACTTCCAAAGTGTGCGATCAGACATTCTGTCCAGGCCGCGTTTTATCAACAAATAGTATTGTTCTATCATTTTACAGTGTCCGTCCAGTGCTAACGAAGCCATACATATGTGATAGATATGTTCAGCGTGCAAAAATGCACTACATAAAGAAGACGGAGGCCTAATATAAAGCGACATCTTATCCCTTTGAGGCGTATAAATAGATGGCTGACGGATACGTGAAGTAACTAGGGAAGCATGACGGGAACAAGCTAGTAGGAAAGGACGCGCGTTAGATGCCTGCTGCGGGCGGAAATGATGTAGGAAAAATATCAGTACAAAGGGAATCAGGACCTGGCCCATCGAAATACGGTTGGTCCAAATAAATTCGATCTTTGAAGATACCTTTGGGGGCTACTGGGGGCCGAGAAAACTACTCATCGGAAGCTATTAAGTTTATATAGAAACAATTTGATAGAGTTTTATACGTTGGTAATTGGTAAAGTTCATCATTTGATTGCATCAAGCTTTCGTTTCAAATGCTGTGCAGAAGGAAGCTTCAATACGATCGTGTGTGTTGTCTACAGATAGGCACAATAGGCAATGCAGCACATGTGATGTTTCTACATTATGTATAAATAGATTCGGTTTCTTTGGAGAACAGAAAATTAAAATAGATATTTCCATTATTTGTACCATTCAAAACAGTTGGAAAAGAAAAATCTGTGTTCGATCGAAATTACTTTGATGCTATTTTACAATGTAACCGCGAGATGTACCTTACAGCCTAATTAGGTGTTAATTAACGAGTTCGGTTAGTTAGGCGATTGGCGAGTTGTCGTGCCTTGTTCAGCGTGCCTTGTACACCGATACGTACAAGTGCAATTCATGCACGTGACAACTTCGGCAGCATAGGCAGAAGACATTCGCCGAACTACGCAGATATTTTTAGAGCTTTCTGGTATCCATGTTCTACTTGCTTCCTCCTGCGGGAGTGAACTCGTCGAGGGCAAGTGGAAAACGCTATACTCCGTCAGTACGATAGCGTAGCGTTACTGGTAGCAGAAATATTGTCTATTGTGCCAGTATAACTAATAGATGTTTATTAATTAATTCATTTATTAACTGAATCATTCGATAAACTGTACAGCCGCACACAGGTGACTGTACAGCTATGGAACTCATCTCAGATGAGTAGGATATACGCATCGGCTGTATAGAATAATAATCGTTGAATATATGTGTTTAGAAATTTATTTTTTCGATAACTCGCTTATATATAGAAAGACCCGTCGTTGATTGATGTCGAAGCGCCAATCTTGTGATTCGGTTCCTATTGTATAGGAAGTAGAGCTGTTTACTGGGCGAAACGATAACGTAGAGTTACCATATATAGATAAACTTTCGAAGATATGTATTGCCAACTAAAGACAATGTTGTAGTACTAAATCTTGTTTCGGAACGAAGCTGCAGCTCCCTTGAGTCGTGATCGAGCTATGATAGTTTAGTTCAGAAATCCTAAACCATCTCCAATGCCTTTCTCATGTGTCGTTAATGGTGCTTGTAACTGATACGCGGCGACGTCGTCTCCTCAATGCGCTCTCCGTAACAGGCAACGACAAAATGCTTT